CAACTGGAAAAAAAGAAAAGAAGGAAAAGCAACAGACCCAGTCATGCAGACATCCACTGTAACTGCAGGGATCAGGACTCGGTCATTTAGTTGTAACAACATTTAAAAGCAACAAATGTGTGAAAGTTAGAAATGTTCCTTACAGAAGCAGTGAAGCAGAGACATCTGGTCTGATACCTCACAACACTTCCAGGGTGTTCCCTATCCTCCCCAACAAATATTCCCTGTTAATCCCCGAAAGGAGTACTACGTTTCAGGGTGGAAAACGGACAAGTCTTCAGTGAAGCTGAAGTCCAAGGCTACTTGGGTGGAAATAGGCAAAGAGGAGAGGTGCATATCCTCTGGAGGTGGAAGCCTTTCTCTAAGTACAGTGGGACAGGGGTTAATAACCACGGGGCTAACAACTCAGGAGAACCAGGCTGATGGATCCCAACTGGTCAGGGATCCTGGCACAAAGTCAAATCGAGGTGCCTTCACAGGAGCGCTCCGGACCACCGTGGCATGCCAGAGCCCCCTGGGGAAGCAGCAGTGTGCAGAACCGAAGCCCTGGCTGCATATAAACCTGAACAATGACCGAGCCCCAGCAGCCAGGCTGGCCTAAGGCCAAGGCTCGCCCTTGTTAGCCTATCACATGTGCGCCATTTGAAGCCTTCCCTGATCCCCTCCCCGCCTGTAAAGAATACAGCTTCGTTTCCTCACATATTAAGGCTACAGGGGCTGACTAGTAAAAACCAATAGCTACAAATGCTTCCTGCTTAACAAGACACAGGTTTTGGACTATACATTCCACGTAATGACAACAAACACAAAAAAATGGGATTAGAGGTACTCACCCAGAGTGTTCAGAGCTGAAAGAAGGTAAGAACAGTTAAAACCCTGAGCAATCCTGAACTTGTTCTGGATGCTACTCACCGAGGAAGCACTGCTACAAGACCTGGTCCTGCGTTTCCGGCAGTGATGCTGATGCTTCTTGGGACGGTGCTGCTCTCTGCCTCTGGATCGTCGCCAGTTTCGTGAGCGGGTCGAGTAATAGTCCTCTCCAAAAGACGGGCTTCGGTCTTCAAATCTGTAGGCGTCGCTGTCCCGCCTGTATCTCCTGTGATAAGGCATCCTGTCATGGCTGCAGCAAAACAAGAATGCATTTATAAAGCTGGAAAAAAGGCAGAGGCTGGCTGAAACAAAGTGCTCTTGCTCCCACTGCCTGGTGGCAGGTGAAACAACAGCAAGAGTCTTAGGCTTCAAACCAGCCCTCCACTGCAGCTCAGATGCTGACCGCTTCTCAGATAAAAAATGAGAACGTTTGCAATAGAAAATGGTGTGGCACTCCCACATTTCAAGGAGCTGGGGGGAAACCACCCACTTAGAGCTTCATCTGAGCTGCCTACCTCATTTGAGCCACCTCCACCACCATACGCAAGTGTTTTTCTAACATCATTTCTCCTCCCCCGGGAAGGTCTCTCATTACTTCTTAAACAAACGAGAATTGAAGCCAGCAGCAGTGTTATAGGCATCACCCCAGGGGGGACTGGAGTCCCCTAAACGCCAAACCTTCAGTGTGTACACACACACCGGCTCATCAGATCATTAGCGAGGAGCCAGAAGGAAAATCTGGTCACCTTTCTTAAACTGGACAGCAAACCGGTATGACTTAGCAGTGGTCTGCTTCTGCCCCAGAAGCACGACTTGTCTTCTCCATCCCAGCCACTGCAGCTGTTCTAACAAAACAGCTTCCACTAGAAGTCATGCTTCACATGTCATTGAGTGAAAAGCCACAGGTTTTTAGGTAGAAAATGTTGCAACTCAGAAATACAGTGTGTGGGCTTTCCAATGATAAACAGCAGTATTCTGGGCACACACCGGGCCAGGTCGATGCTGTCACCTAGCTGACAGCAAGAGCAACGGCTTCGCCAGCCGAGACCTCGCTACAGTGTCTCCTGTCCCTCCTGTCCAGGAACAGGAACTCTTGTTGTTCACACTTCTCTGCTTCGGCAAGAATTAGCTCTCTCGCTGACAGCTTAAAGGGACGCAGGTATGTCTGTGGGGGAGATGAACCCCCACACACATTCTTGGATCAAAATTTCAAACTGCCTGCCAAGACAGCAGCAGCTCTAGGTCACTGCTGAACTATCCAAAACACCAAAAAACCCCACAGCTCCATTACAACACTGATACTCCAGACACACCTTTGTGAAACTTCAGTGCGTACTTTTAAGATACAGAGGAATCAGAAATAACAACCTGAAGGACTCGCAGAGGAGAGCAGCAAACCTGTGAGAGGCTCAGAGTCTGAGACTAAAGAGGCAAGAAGATTTTCACCTAGCAGAAGCCTGTTTTCATCCAAATCTCTGCTACATAACCCATCAGATGAAAAAATGGAAAAGCCCACATCAGCTGTATTTCACAATCTGCTTCCTTCAAGTAAATAAAAGCCAGGCTTGGAAGAGAAATTAATCTCTAGAACATGTCAGGAAATTAAAGGTGAACTCAGATCCCTTCTGGCTGTACCTGCCCTGTTTGACTGCTGCCTGAGCCAGTGGAGCTGCCACAGCCCCGGTACCACCGGGGACTACCAGCCTATTTCGGTCGCACCCCCCAGCGTGTCAGCATGCAGCTCCCCATCAGCACTCCCGCCTCTATTCCAGAGCCCTCGCCACAGCTCCCATTATCAATCAGAGGCCTCATCCACCCCGCTTCCAGCACCTAATTGTCCCTGTGGAAACGCTGAACAAAGAGAGGATCAAAGGTAAAATCCAGAGCCAGAGCAGGAAAGATCAGTTTTAGCGATGCTCAGGTCCTTTATGACAGCGTAGGTGAGGGAAAAGTATTGTTACTTTAAATGTGATCTGTAATACTTTCAGAAGGAAATGGGTCGTCAGGAGTAAAAGACTTTAACGCCTCCACAGCTTTAGACCTGGGAAAGATGATTCCAGGGCAAGCTGTTCTCCCTTGTTAATATTAAAGATGTTACTTTGGGAAGAACTGTTGGCGAGATGCAGAGGCAGAATTGTGTAAGGGCAGGTGCACGCAGTTAAGCCCCTTAGTTCCATTGCGGGGATTTACAGGTTTAAAGCTGGTCAGCAGTCAGAAAATGAAAGCTGCCACCACTCAGCGCTCTGTCTGAAACACGATCAGAATCGAGGACGAGAGTTTATCCGATAACTGTGGCCGGCAGCACGGCTGCTGGCTGGCCTCCCTCTGCCCAAACCCCACCTTTACCTTCTCGATCGCGATCTGCGGGCCAGGTCCCTCCGGGGTGGGTATCGCAGCCTCCCCTCGTAGTCTCTGCTCCGAGACCTCTTCCTCTTCCACCTGTGGCCCAGGTAGCTCTCCTGCTCCGGGGAGCGGTACCTCTTGCAGTGATGCATCTGAGGAGACACCGGGGTTCCGACCCGTCAGCCCCTCGGCGGGTCACCCGCTCCACCGAGGAGGGAGGGTCCGTCCCACCCTCCGCGGGGGCCAGAGGCCGCCCCAAGGGGCGCAGGGAGGCGCAGCGTTACCGGTTATTTCAACAACCCGGGGACAAACCACTTCCCCCGGCTCCCGATAACCGTTTGGCCGCGGGGGGTGCCCGCGGGCCCGGAACCAGCGAGCGCAGGGCCGAGGCACCGCCGCCCGGAGCCTGCCCGCACCGGGACGCCGCTCCGCCGCCGTCC